CTTGGAGTTGTTCTCCTTTTAATAGTAGGTTCTGATCCATGCTCTATAGGTCAAGAGCACAAGTTCTAATTTTCTCTTTGTCCCCTTTTGAATCAAACCTCATCTTTGCCTCCTGCTTGTTGCAACTCTTCGTATAACAAATACGGCAAGGGGCAGAGATTCTCATCTCCACACAACAGTCCATGATTCAGCCAGATTCTGCTTTGTCCCTAAACATTCATGCCCCCTGGCTCCTGCTGGGTCTGGTATATGCACATATGAACTTCTCAGGAATCTGATCAAGTCACAGGCCTTTTCCTGTATGACAAGTTCAATGCTAATCATGAATAGCCGACTTCACAAAGAGGGGTTAGTATTATTCATAAAAACTGTGACTCCACATCCAGAAATAGGACAAAAATAGCCTAAAATAAGCAGGCTGCATTTCTGTTAAATCCACCGGTAATTACTAAGTTCTCTTGCTGCAAACAGCACAAGAGTTCTTCCTCAGCTATGTTAATCCAACACACTAGAAATACAACATTCTGCCAGACTCCTAGGTCTGAGGCTGAGCTTGATGGGGAACCCTGATGCCCACACAGTGAATTGGAGGGTTTTCCTAAGAACCAAAGCCAAATAACCAGGTACCACTGAGTTCTCATTCCCAGCTCCTGAAAGTCTTCCTACCCAGAGCATTTCAAGGCCAGCTTTACAGCTTTGAGAGAGTTATCAAAGGGCCACAAAAGAAAAAAAAAAACTGAAATAATATTTAATTTTCCTTTTTGGAACAGGAAGGCATATCCGGAAAATACATGTATTACAAATTAGAGGCACACTAGATGGCTTGTACCATTTTATTGTGATTCTCTCTTCTGGAACCTAGTTTCAATGCCACAAGAAATAGCAGCGATTGGCCCAGATTGTATTTTATAAATGGAAGTTGAAGATTATCTTTCCAAATGAAAGTACCCAGATTGAAACCCCCTCTTTGCTACTCCTGAGAGAATGACATAGGCTGGTACTAAAAGACTATCTTTGTGTAGAACAAATGGACCGAGGAAAATCTGCCTTCCTCTCCCCCTGCTCCTTTCTTCTTTACATAACTAGAGCCAAATGAGATGGTTTTCATTTTAAAAATCTGATTAAGCAGACTGAGCAAAAGCCCATTCTTCTGGTCTTTACTACTTTCTTAATTTGGGAACTGAATTAAGGCATACTAAGTTTGTAAGGACAGTGACGCTAGGGCCTAACTGCCAGGAAGTGGTGGCATTTTGAAAGTTTAAATTAGGAGAGGTGTGTACTGGGCCCATGGCTCTGGTCAGGGGCTGCATTCACCCCTGGAAGTGTCAGAATTTAGACAGCTATTCCAGGGATGAGTAAGAGGGATTCTAGATTCCCTGTACGTCTCCATGCTACTCCACGTACACAAGCCTCCTGAGCTGAGGGTGTGAAAAGTGGCACGGCAAAGAGTAGATTCAAATAATAAGGAAAAAATAAGCCAATGAGAATGATATGAATGAACTGTCTTTTTCTTTAGCTCTGAGCACCAAGAAACATTACTCCTCTGTTCCATTTTAAAATATGTTTATAGGCTTGGCGCCTATAGCTCGGCCGGCTGGGGCGCCAGCCACGTACACCTAAGGTGGCGGGTTCGAATCCCCAGCCCGGACCCGCCAGACAACAATGACGGCTGCAACCAAAAAATAGCCGGGCGTTGTGGCGGGCGCCTGTGGTCCCAGCTACTTGGGAGGCGGAGGCAGGAGACTCGCTTGAGCCCAGGAGTTGGAGGTTGCTGTGAGCTGTAATGCCACGGCACTCTACCCAGGGGGAGAGCTTGAGGCTCTGTCTCAAAAAAAAAAAAAAAAAAAAAAAAATATGTTTATACACACTGTACAAATAAACTCATTATAGTACCAGATCTAGTTTTAGATTCTAAACTTTAAATCTTCTACAAAACCTTTTTACAATTATTTTCTTTACCTTGTTTTAAAGTACACTCACGCATCACTTAACTACTGGGATATGTTCTGAGAAATGCACCAGGTGATTTCACCCTTGTGTGAACATCTCATGAACATTAGAGTGTACTGGCACACACTCAGATAGGATGGCCTTCTATAGACCTAGGCTACCTGAGATAGTCTATTGCTCCTAGGCCACAACCTGAACAGCAAGTTCCTTTACTGAATACTGTAGGCAACTGTAACACAACAGTAAGAATTTACTTACCTAAACATATCTAAATACAGAAAAGGTAACAGTAAAAATAGGGTACAAAAGATAAAAAATGATACACCTATAGATGGCACTTACATGAAAGGAGCTTGCAGGACTGGAAGTTGTTCGGGTGAGTCAGTGGCTGAGCAGTGAGTGAATGTGAAGGCCTATGACATTACTGTACATTACTATAGACTTTCTAAACACTCACTTAGGCTATATTCAATTTATTAAAATTTTTTTCTTTCTTCAATAATAAATTAACTTTAGCTTACTATAACTTTTATACTTTATAAACTTCTTAATTTTTTAAATTTTTGACTCTTTTGTAACAACACCTAGCTTAAAACAAATTGTACAACTGTAAAAAATATTTTCTATTGGCTCGGTCCCTGTGACTCAAGTGGCTAAGGCGTCACCCATGTACACCCAAGGTGGCGGGTTCAAATCCAGCCTGGGCCCACCAGACAACAATGATGGCTGCAACCAAAAAATAGCCCCAGGCATCGTGGCGGGCGCCTGTGGTCCCAGCTACTTGGGAGGCTGAGGCAGGAGACGTGCTTGAGCACAGGAGTTGGAGGTTGCTGTGAGCTGTGATGCCTCGGCACTCTACCCAGGAGGACAGCTTGAGGCTCTGTCTCAAAAAAAAATTTTTTTTTCTATTTTTATATCCTTATTCTATAAGCTCTTTGAACACACATTAACCTAGGTCTGCACAGAGCCAGGGTCCTCACCATCACTGGCTTCACCTCCATATCTTGTCCCACTGGAAGGTCTTCAGGTGCAATAACTGAATGGAGCTTGTCACTTCAGATGGTAACAATGCCTTCTTTCAGAATAAGTAGAAGGAGCATACTATAAAATAATCGTGAAAAGCATAGTATAAACTCAAGCACTGTGAGTTGTGCCTATATAGTCCCAGCTTCTTAGGAGGCTGAGGCAAGAGGATAAACCAAGAGATTGAGACCAGCCTCAGCAACATATTAAAAAGAAAAAAGCCAGGTGTGGTGGCTCATGCCTTTAATCCTAGCATTTTGGGAGGCTGAGGCATGTGGATTGCTTGAGCTCAGGAGTTCAAGGCCAGTCTGAGCAAGAGCAGGATCCTATCTCTACCAAAAATAGAAAAAACAGCTGGATGTTGTAGCAGGCACCTATAGTCTCAGCTACTCGGGAGACTGAGGTTAAAGTTGCTGTGAGCTCAAAAAAAAAAGAAGTATAGTATAGAAAATACATAAACCAAGGTGGTGCCTGTAGCTCAAGTGGCTAAGGTGCCAGCCACATACATCAGAGCTGGCAGGTTCGAATCCGGCCCAGGCCTGCCAAACAATGACAACTACAACCAAAAAATAGCTGGGCATTGTGGCAGGCACCTGTAGTCCCAGCTACTCGGGAGACTGAGGCAAGAGAATCACTTAAGCCCAGGAGTTGGATGTTGCTATGAGCTGTCATGCCATAGGACTCTACCCAGGGCAATAGCTTGAGGCTTTGTCTCAAAAAAAAGAAAAAGAAAAAGAAAATACATAAACCAGCAACAATTGTTTATTATCATTATCAAATACTATGTACTGTATATAATTCTATATTTTATAATTTTATATGATTGGCTGTGTGATAGGTTGGTTTACAGAAGCATCACCACAAGCATATGAGTAATAAATGTGTTGCACTATGTCTTGACAGCAGTGGTGACAGATGTCACTAGGCAAAAGAAATGTTTTGGCTCCATTATAATATTATGAAACCACAGTTGTATATTTGGTCTGTTGTGGACTGAAATGTCGCTACCCAGTACATAACTGTATCTTTTTAAGATTCCCCTTACATCATACAGTCCTGATGGTCAGTATATCCTTTTGCTTTTGTACCTTGAATACAATGAACTGAATACAGGAATTGATAAATAAACTGTTAGAAAATATACTTTTTAGTTAAAAGCTGACAAAACTAGGTTGTGAGTTATCACCAAAAAAAATAGGATACTTTATGCCAATGTGGCTAAAAGATGTTCTATCTTCTAGTTCTATCATGTCAGCTTTGTATGGTATTTAAAGAGGTATTTACTGAATATCATCTTTCAGGGGATCCTTTCAAATAAAAATAATAACAAGTAGTATTATAAGTTAGTATCACGGCTCGGCGCCTATGGCTCAACCGGCTGGGGCGCCAGCCATGTACACCTAAGGTGGCGGGTTCGAATCCCCAGCCCGGACCTGCCAAACAACAATGACGGCTGCAACCAAAAAATAGCCGGGCGTTGTGGCGGGCGCCTGTGGTCCCAGCTACTTGGGAGGCGGAGGCAGGAGACTCGCTTGAGCCCAGGAGTTGGAGGTTGCTGTGAGCTTTGATGCCACGGCACTCTACCCAGGGGGACAGCATGAGGCTCTGTCTCAAAAAAAAAAAAAAAAAAATAAAAAAGTTAGTATCACTATTTACAAAAATGCTCATTCCAAAAAATTTATTCTAAAAAGTGCAAAGTATCTTTTTTTCCCTTAGCCAGCTACTGAGCTGTTGCTTTCTCTATCCATGAAAGAATCAGCATGAAGAAATTAACTAAAAGTAAGAATTCTCATTCAGCTTACACATCAAAGGAATGCCCTTGGAATGGGGTGCTGAGGAAATGGGTATTCCTATCCCTAAAAAGCCTCAACAACAGAAGTAAAAATCCTTGGTCCAGGATGGCTTCTCTTTTCACATGCATCATGAAAGCCACTGGGCTGAACCATCTGACCTCTGGTGGGGGCCTGCCACTCTGCACACTTAGCGTTCAAAGTCCTGTAAACCGTCAAGTTGGATGGTAGTCTTACTCTGGCAAGCAGGTATCTCACAGTACTTCCAGTAGACACCATCCTCGTGCTCTGCCACATAGCACCAGGGGCTCACGTCTCCATCTGGATTTCTGTTGGGGAAAAGAACACAATCAATAACATTTTGTGGTTTTTTTGAGACAGAGTCTCACTTATAGCTCACATCAACCTCAGACTCTTGGGCTTCAGCAATTTTCTTGCCTCAGGCCTGAGTAGCTGGGACTGATGGTGCCCGCCACAATCCCTGGCTATATTTTAGAGATGGGGTCTCACTCTTGCTCCGGCTAGTCTTGAACTCCTGAGCTCAAGTGATTCACCTGCCTTGGCCTCTCAAAGTACTGGGATCATAGGCATGAGCCACCACGCCTGGCCCTTAGCAATAACATTCCTGATGCTTCAAGTCAACTGATTTTCAGTTTTACATGAAAGGAATTGCTTCAGCTTTTGTATTATTTCTTATAATTGTATATATACCCGATGCCATCTCTTACCAAGAAGGGAAAAAAATGATAACACTACAAGAACAGGTGGCGCCTATGGCTCAGTGAATAGGGCGCCAGCCCCATATACTGAGGGTGGGGGGTTTGAACCTGGTCCCAGCTAAATTGCAACAAAAAAATATAGCTGGGCATTGTGGTGGGTGTGTGTAGTCCCAGCTACTTGGGAGGCTGAAGCAAGAGAATCACCCAAGCCCAAGAGCTGGAGGTTGCTGTGAGCTGTGACGCCACAGTACTCTACCGAGGGTGACAAAGTAAGACTCTGTCTCTAAAAAAAAGACAACAACAAAAACACTACAAGAACAAACATATCTATTCTGACACATACTTCAGAGTTTGGAGAGAAGTAAGCAAAGGTGACATGTGTTTAGGTAAATTCACTACAGTGTAACTTGAACAACTGACCACTGCACAAATCATGCCAAACACCACTGGCACCTTGAATGTGAACATGGAGATTCCAATGACTGGATGAGCACAGGTACTCTCAATGTTCCTGATGAGAATGTGAACCAACACAAATGATCAGGGCAGCAACTTCATAATTAGAGCCATAGGCTCTAAAAATATGCAAACCTTTTACTTGGTAATTTCCTCTTAAAGAATATATTCTTTTTTTTTTTTTTT